TTTTAAAAGTCAAAAGAAATGTTTAAAAATTAATAAGTAAATGGTATAAAATAAAATAAGCAAAAGTTAAATGAGAGCATTGGAAGAATTCAAATCTAATTTTTCCTTTTAGGTATGCAAAAAAGAGGGGGAAAGATGACGATGTATTTGTTGACACTGACAAAGGCAAAATTCAGGCGAGACTCGAATGCGAGGTGAAATGGTGAGAAAAAGATGTCTAACCGCCTGCGCTATCGAATCGATGCTTGGGAACGTTTGAAGCAGTTGTCATGGAGTATAGGCAAAAACAATTGGGGGGGGGGGGGGGCCAAAGAATGCTGAAAAAAGAGGAATTATTTTTATAAAATTGATCTGGTGAGTCTACAATTTACATGAAGTGATTTTTAATATTAGGGACATTTTCAAAGAATTTTTTTGGCAAATTTTAGGTTTAGAATGAACTCTTTAAGACTAGGAGCTAAAGCGCATTTCTCATATCAGTGTCAAAAATATGGAACGCTTCACCATTTTGCGTGTCATCCTTGAAAAGGGGCCATGCTAATCTTCTTTGTATCGTTCCAATTTTAGTATATGTACTGCCGAAGCGATTACATCAATAATAATTTTGTTTTGAAGATATATGCGGCCATTACAGAAACTACGCCCCGCCCCTACGTCAATTTCTACTCTTGCAACCACCGATCTTAAAATTCCGATGACTTTAGAAATTTATCAAAAATAGATAATTTTTTTACTATAATAAAACTGGTATCATTGGAAAGATAATTGTTTGCTCTTTAAAATGACATAAACATTTTCTTTGTAAATCAATTCATTCAGAAGTTATTGGCAAAAGATGACGAAATTTGGTTAATTTTTAAATAATTTAAATTTGAATTAAAATAAAAAAAACGGCTCGGAGGTGCACATTTTCAGCATCCAAGGTATATCTGAGCCAAATTTGGTACCTCTATGTTCTACGGTCTGTTCTGTAACCGCCAACAGACACACAAACAGACAGACATTCATCTTTATTAGTATTAGAGATTAGACCAGAAAGTGATCGAAACAGTCGATGGAGAAAAAAAAAAGATACAAATTTTCACCCGTCTTGTTGATCTCTTAGCCGACCGACCGGAAAAAGTCGGCAAAATGCGACATCTGATTCACTTGTCGCCTTGTCGGTTATTCTTTCAAATGTGATGCGAACTACAGGCCGAATGAACGACAATTGAAAAGAATGTCGGTCATTCTGTTGACTTAATCGTCAATCAGTCCTCAAATTCGGACACAAACCGCTTATCTCGACCTTATGCTACAATATAACATTAAGATGGGATTAAAATTATTAGATTCCTTAATACCCTGCTCTCAACATCTTCCGAAATCGCAAAGATTTTTGCTGACGAAAGTTTTAATTTCTTGCCGACGGGGGGGGGGGGCAAGCGGTCCCCCCCTGGGGGAAATCCCCCCCCCCCCCCCCCCCCCCCCCCCCCCCCGGGGCCCCCCCCCGCGGCCCCCGCCGGGGGGAAATTGCCCCCTGCCCCCCCCGCTGGCGCCGCCCCTGGTTTAAATGTAGAATTATTGATTACAGAATACCCCAATAAAGCCTCGGTACCACGATTAGATTTCCCCCCGAGGCACTCGCGTCGCAGGGGATTTATATCCAGTCGGAATTCCACCAGTGTCATTCCCACGACGCGTATTCTTGGTCCATTTCGGAAACCACATTTAGTCAATTCCTTCCCCGAAGTCATCCTCTGTTTTCGGGAGTGTTTCTCTTCGCTCTGTTTCGCTCCTTCAGTTTCAATTTTCGATGTTTTTTGGAAATAATTTTCAATAAAAATGAAAGAAGTTTATGAATCAGACAATGACGAGGAAGTAGCCTCTGCCGCAGCGAGTTTTTTTTTTCAAAAAAAAAAAAAAGAAAGAAAGAAAAGAAAAATACGATTATACTATTATTATCATTATTCTGAAGTGCTATATTACTGCAAAGTTATAAATATCATTCTTAAGGAGCAATAAAATGATCATAAACATTGATGAAATTAAATTATTGTTGTTCATATTTACAATGCAATGATTTAAGTTCAATATTGTGTTCGCATTAGAACTTTCATTATTATTATTTTTACTCCTTTGGATTGCATGTTTACTCCCCTTTTTAAAACATATTTGCTTCTTTTGCCTCTGCGTGAACAAGAAGGCATTTAAATGGACAGAATCCTATCAAAAATTTTTTAAACTGCCTTTTTTAAGGGAAATTATGTCAAGTAAGTTGGTTTAAAATTTAATGAACACTTTCTTTAAATAGTTCTACTAGTACTAGAGAATTAACATTATAAAAACATTAAACGTACATAAAAAACACACTCACATTAGCACAAATAAAAAATTACTAGTACTAGAGAATGTTACAATAATTTATATTGTTTGAATATATTTATACCTTTTATTTGAAAAATGGCATTAAAAATGGAAATCTATTTGTTCTAAAATTCTAATTTTTAAATATAATTATAAATGTGATAATTTATACATAAAAATAATATTTATTCTTAATATTTAATAAACTGAAATCGAGAAAAATATTATGGTGTTTCCATATTATATATTTAAAACAAGGGAGTCAAACATGTTAAATTCATTCAATAAGATTCATTCATTCCTTAATAATTTTATTGATTCCATATGATAAGTGCTCCTTCGTACAGATACAAAAACTCCATAATAAATTCAGTATTCCACTCCATAATCCACTCGAAACTGCTAAAAAAATTGCGATGTGAAAACAGCGTACAATCTACAACAGGCCGTAGGAATGGGCGCACTAAGATCTCCGTCTGTCCACTCCCTGCCCTTTGATGTCCGAGCAATTTACCGACTATTAACGGGAAACTACGAGTCACCCCACAAACCCCCGAGCAGCAAGGATTCTTTCTGTTCTCACGGCGGCTTATAAAGCGAAACGCGGACGAAATTCGGGGATAGACAGGCCGTTGGAAAGGGGCTTGAGCGGTGCTTAAAGTTTAGTTCTATGCAGGTATATCAACTGCTGTTCGATGCATTTGTATCATTTTCAGGGTTATTTAACTGGATAAAATGATATGTTGGCATAGCTTTCGCTGAGTTGTCAATTTGAATTGACTATAAAAAGTCACGTCAGTGTACTGAGTTAATGTTTTTTTCACAAAAAATGTGTGTATGGTGGGCAGTATCTGATTTACGAATTATTGGACCGTTCTTGAGATGCATCAATGTAATACGTCAAATTCTACACTATTTTTGATGAATTCGTTCCGAGCAAAGATTATTGCGATTATTCCAAGATTATTGCGCTCACATTTTGACGCCATTTTTTCAAAAGTATTTTCATATGTACAAGAGGAGGAGCGACAATTTTTTTTCGATCCAGGAGGAAAGAAATATTTAAGAATTCTTGCATTATTCTTTTGAAATGTAAATTCTTAAGTTATTAAATAAACGATTAAACCAAGAAATGCTTTAGGAGTCATATTCAAAGAGAAGTGAATCCACCTGTTGGTGTGGAGCTGAATTTTGGAGAGAAGGGTTGGCGACTCGTAGAAATTACCGTCTCACATTAGCTCTGGTAGAGCTCCAAAATGGGAAGTTAATACAACTAAACTTAACAGAAGCGGCAGGAAAAAATAAAACTGCCTCAGGTGAGGATCGAACTCACAACCTTCAGGGTGTTGTGACACTTGCGTACAGCAGCATTTGCGCACAAGTCGTTAACGCCTACTTAATCATCTGTTGGTCATCGACGAGAAGTTTTCAGCCAGTGATTCATGTAGGTTTTCTGGAGCTACTGACAAGAATATTTGGCTAAGCGAACTGAAAAATTGAAAATTTGCTTATCTAGAAATTAAAGTTATTGGTATTTTAAAGTTTGTGTTATATAAATTCGAGAGAATATTTCTTGAATTAGTTAACATATGAACGAAATTTACGTGTCTTATTGTGTAGTTCAAATCTTTTATTAGTATTTTTTTCTCTGTCAACAGTAGATTTTATTTACCATTTAATAATGCATCTAGAAGACTTATTTTTCTCAGTCACACAACCGACTGTCACAGCTCATTAATTGATAGTTGTACGCGTCTGTCACTGTACGCAAATGCCACACAATCAACCTTCAGATATTTTACAACGGCGTATTTGTAATGCAAAATATGATTTTCCATTCCATTCCCTAACCCAGGATTGTCGACTCAACCCGATGGTTGTAGAGACTCTACCCATGATCCCCCGGGACAGAAAATTTGATTTTCAGCAACCTTCTTATGGCAATTTAAGACTCGTAAGTTTTGAACCGGACGTGATTTGAACACGCAACTATCTGATAAGGAGTCAGACGCGCTACCATTGCGCCACCGAGTCAACGTTCGAAAGTCCTCTCAAATTTAAGAAACAAATGAAAACACCTATTATCAGTTTAACTAAGCATCGTTTATTTTTGTAGTAGTCATTTAGCATTATTCACATCAGTTTTTATTGCACATCATTGCACTCGGAGATTATTGCAAAAAGTATATAAATTTTCATTTCAACAAACATTCAGAACATGGAACTAACAAAAGATTGGGCTGGGCTTTCTATAACTTCGGAACGGAGAATACCCGTTATTAGGAATGCAGTAGATAAAATAAATAAACAAATTCGGTATTTTGAAAAGTGCGAATGTCACCTGAACAGATGATCAAGTTGAGAAGATGAAATTTATAGTAATTATACTTTGAAAGGCGCGGATAAAAAAGTATTTGCTACGTATAAAGGGTTATTCAAGCAATGTTATTGCAACAAATGAGTTGTAGTCATAATTAAATGTTGTTCAATTATTTTTAAAACGTTGAAATTTTTTAGTTGTTCAGATTTAAAATTGGAAATGATAGTGAGTTTGACAGTTCAATAGAGATACAAAATTAAATACTGTCCCGAGTGAAGATCTAAACCAAATAAAAAAAATTTCGTGAGTAATATGAAAAAATGCAAAAACAAACTGCCGCAGGTGAGGATCGAACTCACGACCTTCAGAGGAGGTTTACGGTTCCTCTTCGGAGGAGATTATGCGACTGACGCGCTACCTACTGCGCTACCGAAGCTCGTTTAGTGTAATGGATCCATTTCATGAAATAATGCAGTGGCGTCCCCCCCGGGGGCGCCCCTAGATGCTATAGATGCTATCTTCGAAAATATGACGTATTTTCGAAGGTCAAGCTCCTGCCCCCTCTTTCGGGCCTGGATAAATGGAAAATCAAAGACTTTTCAAAACACAAATTCGGCGATGAGAACTTTTGTAAAAGAACGGATTTTGACTTTCAAAGAATATTTGATGTCCCGCGTTTTGCGTTTTCGTGTTAAAGGAATGAATTAACACTACTTCCCTCACATGATCGACGGGGCCTAATATTCACTTCGTGTTAAAGCGAAATTTCGTGATAAGCGATTTCGTGTTAACGGGGTTTGACTGTATATAAAATAATCCAACGGTAAACATCTAAATTAAAACTGCCATTTCTTTTTTGTTTTCTTTTTTTGTTATTTCTATTTAATTCTCCTGTTAAATTATTGTAAATTTTGTTTAATTCTAAAGATTTTAAGAAAACGCAATATTGATGATTTCTCTTTAAATAATCTAAAAGAAAACATAATAAAGAATTATGTTGACTGAGAATAAACAAATCTACATTTGTGTGTCTCTACACTTCAAGAGCATCAGCTGTCTGTCTTCAAAAACTGCCAATATCTTGGTACAGCCAAAATGCTGTCGCGGTTTAGTAAACTTGCTTAACAGAAAGGATACGAAAATACCCAGTCCTGCCTGACATTCCCTTGATGCTAGGGCTGGAGGCTGATGGTCGCTTCTCCCCATGTAAAGGCGGCAAATAACTCAACACTTCTTACCTTTCTATTACAATCATATTTTTATTTCTTTATTATAGTAGGAAAAGTTGGCGACTTTTGAAGCAATGTCAGCCAGATGCAAGATAAAATTTGTGCAACATTGGTTTGCAAACGAAATCCTAAGGGTAATGTTATGAAATCAAAATGATACCTGATTTTAATCTCAATAAGTCTGAGTACATTCTTTTCTGCATTCTGGCGCGGGGCCCTATTTCGAGCAATCGGTCAAATCGGCTAAAGGCTGGCCCTGCACCTCGTTCTTCCCTTCACCTCTATTTTTAAAATAACAACAAAGTTAATTTAAAAAAAAAACATTTGTAGACTGTCTTCACGAAATGAATCCTCGGCAGTATGGTGGTCGCCTGTCGCGCGGGAGATCGGGGGACGATTCCCCGCCGGGGAGGATTCTTTTTATGCATATCAACTTTTTTTTTTATCCCAAAAGGCAGCTTTAATTGATATATACTCAAATGTCAGTGGAAAGAGATTCATTGTTAAGTTAAAACTAAATAACTAACAAATGAAATTATTCGTCTTTAGCGACATGAAATTAATAACCTTGTACGCTAGATAAATAAAATTCGTTGTCGCGAGCCGTTTTTAACTTCGTAATAACTCCCTCCAAGTATTTCTTGCAACTTTCTTATTACATCTTATATTCTACATTCATAGGGCTTCTTTAATAATTATTAATGATATAAATTATTTTTGAAACTAAAAATAACTTTTATCTTCTACATGGTGCACTTATTTCGACTATGCCTCCCCCCCTTTTTTTCGCTTCCGGTTCTTTATGTTTGCGAAACAGGAGTGATACCTTAAAAGCAAATTTCTGGAATACAGAAACTTTAGACGCAAGGGATTTGAGTTTTATTTCGATTAAAGATTATTTAATCAGAATAAAAAACATCTCTTCATCAGTCTATTCGGCCATGTCACGTAATAAATAATCACAATATAAGAATATACAAAAAGCTTACTTATACTAGTAAAACTTCACACTATGAAATTCGAGGATATTCTGCGTTAATTTATAAGATTGAAATCAATTTACTCTTTACTGAGTAAAATACATTAATAAGATAAGAAACATTATTCAATTTTTTTTCATCATGGGGTTTATTTTTTTCCAAGATATGGAAATTTAAATTATGTTAAAATTTTTTTTTGTCAAGTTTTAAGTTCTGATATTAAGTTCTGAGATTCGAATTAAAGTCATAATAGAATTTTGAATTTAAAAATATTCAAACTCGATTTTTCTTCTAGAGATAATGAATTTTCCTGTTTCAGGATTTACGTAATTTTTCAGTATTTTAATAATCTTCAATGTCGTGTTTAAATATATAAGAATGAATATTATGATTTGCAATTAAACAAACGAGTGACACAACATGAGTGCAATTAAACAAATGAATTTATGGTTGGTTATTGCGATATTAAGCTATCAACTTGAAAAACTGACATTTCACTTCAAAATTATCCTGATTAAATGAACCGGAAATTCTCTCCACAAATAAATAATTTTTAATAATAAATAAGTAAATAAATAATTTTTTGAATTTTTCAGGAGCTAGAATAATCGCAAAAAAGTAAAAAATTTGCACTACAGTTATTTTTTTTGTATGATTTTAAATTCAGTGTCTAATTTTTGTCAATGAAAAATAGCAGTATCAGTTTAATAAGACGTGCGAATGTCTATTTAAAAAACACTCCCATTATCACATCATGCTAAAAGTTTTCCTTACGTAAATATCTAGACTCTTACCTTTTCTCTAGGCTTATCTCAAAATCGCTAATAAGATAAAAAGCATTTTCCGAAACCTGTAAATATTTACCTTAGGATGACAGACCCATTTTAAAGCGTTTATAAAATTAAAGAGAGTGATTATCTCCGGCTGAAACAAATAGCCAATAAAATGCCAGTTTAATAAAGAGAGATAATAACGCAAAGCACAATCTTTTAATCGAGCAGTATCTCAACCCTTTGTAACATGTGGCTTTTTCCCTCAAGATAGACTGACATCTGTTAAGAGCAGAGGCAACAATGAAAGATAAACTTCCCTGGGGTTTGCAGTCGAATTTAATCATTTTAGAGCAGAAACCTTGCGATATTGCCAGTTAAGAAGTTCCCAGAATTTCTTTTACGTTCGTACATCAGACTTGCAGTACTTATAAACACTAATCTTTCATAAGCCAAAGGTTATTATTTCAACTCTGGAGCTGCGTTTATCGGATACTTTGAGTGATTAAATTGCTTTCGCTGCATCTTAGCGTTCAAAGAACATTTCCAGCGAAGAAGTTGATTCTTTTGAATGGAAAAGGATTGATGTTTTTCGGAATACACTTTACTCTTGCAGCTATGCAGTTTGCCTTGTTTGAAAATGGGGAATCTAAATGAGATGTACCGTTATCTGTGAAACAGATGCATTTGACATGAGGAGATACGCAATGCATACCGTGATGAACATTGCTAAAAGGTGTGTCATGTTTTGTTTATTTTTCGGTCATTTGATTTGTGGCGTTAATCATGAAAAGGAAAATACAGTGTCGTTGCACAGATTACTTTTAAATGATATTAATAATATTTCGACATCAAGCATGCTGACTTTTCTCAAAAACACTTCATCTGATGATGTTTCCAACGGTAAGAGGGACGACTCCAAACCACAATTGAATTCATCACCGGGGTCATTCTGTTCTCTGTACGATTCTTGTGTTTCCCGCTGCAACGAGCCACCTCGAGGATTACCTTTCACCTGCAACTGTGATTCAGATTGTGATTTTTATTCCGACTGTTGTGTGGACATGAAAAAAGAGTGTGGAAACGATATCGAGTTTTACAGAGAGCTTGATTCTAGAGACGCTCCCTCATTTCCAAAAGTTACCTGTGAGTTGTTGATTAAAGATTATCCTATCTTCATGGTGTCAAACTGCTCACCAAAATGGAAGAATAATTCGTTTGAGAAACTTTGCGATACTAAAATAACCACGGAGTGCATTTTCGCGAATTCGGCAACAAAATCCTCAGAATTTGACGATGCGCACGTTAACTGTGCAAGCTTTGTTTACCATCAATGTGAAGAAGAGGTAAAACTAAAATGTAACGAAACTGTTGAACCTCTATGCAGAACACTTATTAAAAATCACTGTACTAAAGTAACCTCTGCTAAGTGCCAAAGTTGTACTAAAGAATTTTGGCCTGTGTTTGACCAAAATCAGGTACTGTACAGAAATTCTTATTGTGCCATGTGCAATTTCGAAGATAATTATATTATAGCAGAAAGCAAATCATTAGTTGAAGAAATGTACATTATTCAGCTTCGTAAGCTTAGTTCTTTTGGTATTGCAAACAAGATCAGTAGGAAATGCTTTTTATCCGTAACTGATTTCTGCCCAAACGACGATAACACGCTGTTGTCTTCTCTTTGTAGAAAAACTTTAGGTCCTGTACTTTCTACAAGCCACAAGTCCCATGGCACTATTTATAAAAACGTTTATTGTGCGCTTTGCCGCAATGAATCGTTAAACGAGATGAGGTGCATGAAGTCACCATTGTTCTCTTCAAAAAATCCAATCGATCCAAACATGATGACCGGAATGATAAAACCACTTGTTATGGATTTTGTTACAGGAATAACTTCTGACATTCAAGGTTTGAGATTGGATGATATTCCTGCAGCATTTTCGTTTCTGCTCAATTTCGGATTGGATGGTCGAGAAAGGGTATATATTTCCTCCGAAGGAGATAAAGCCATGAAGGAACACCAACAGAGATGTGGTCCTGGATACATCTGGGATCCATTCAGTTCAATTTGTCGTAAACTGCACTGTAGTACAGAATTCGTTTTGGTAGACTACCAGTGTGTTAGAAAAGACAGTAACAAAGAAAATAATTCAACTCACAGTGATGATATCAACATACCTGATGCTTCAGCAGATTTTGTGCATTTAACACTTGTTGCCGAAATGGAGCTATTTGATTTCTTGGCCTTCTACAAGAGAAACATATCTGAGATTTGTGATTCTATTCGGGAATCATTTTCTAGTTCTTTCAATATTAAAATTGATCGCATAAGAAACGTTAGTTTCAACATATCTTTAGGTAATTTTAGTAGTCTAAATGAAACGTTGGAGTTTCTAAAAGTCATGGATGAATTCCATCCAATAAATTTTACCATAGACTTCGATTTATATGAAA